TGGCACCCCTCTAAATCCGCATCAGAAAGTGTGATCTCTGTATCTCGGCGCGATGTTTTGCCGATGGCTTGGACTTCATCAAAATCTTCTAATCAGATTTTCCTAGCATGTGCCTTCCTGGTTGAGCTGGACTATCCGCCCCCTGCAAATCCCCCAGAAATGACCCAAATTTCGCCAAGGGCTTGTTGGTGCTGTTGAGGGGGTTCTACAGTAGCTCGGTCTTCTCGGCCTTGATTATTCCGAGCTCTTCCATCTATCGCCACGTAGTGGCGCAGGTGTCCCCTATGGATCAGATACTCTATCTCATTCTTGAGTTGTATGCAGTTGTTTGTCTCGTGGCCAGTGTCCTTGTAGTATTCACAGTATTTAATGGTGTCCCGCCTGCTTGGGTCAGATTTTATTCGCGGTGGCCACCGGATGAACCTCTCATTTTGGACCTCGTGGAGGACCTGAGCGATCTAGGTGACAAGGGGCGGGAATCGAGCTGGAGCATACCACAGCTGCAACTCCTGTGGAGGAGGTCCTAGTCAATCTCGAACATTTTCTCTCCTTTTTGGGGAAGGCTCTCTCCCCCTCCTCAGGGAGCGGTCTTTTCTTGGGGACCGGTTGTGCCTCTTCTCTCTCTTGGGGCTATGGTCCCGCTTCTTCTTGTCTCCTTTCGACGTTGCCGAATTTCCTTTCAAGAGAAGATATTTTTCGCCTTTAATGTACTTTTTAGCCTTCGCTAACACCTCGCCCAAAGTTGCCTGAGGGTTCTTAGCGATCGAGAAGAGAAGATCCTTGGACTGCACTCTAAGTCCCGACATGAAGGTGGTTAACGCAAATTTATCGTCCACGTTTTTCACCTTCAGGCATTCCTGGTTGAAGCGTTGCACGTAAATTCTGAGGGACTCATTTGGTCCCTATTTAACGCTCTGCAGGTGGTAGGATGACTTTCTGTACGTCCTTGCTCTAATGAAATGTGAGACGAACTGTATTGATAGTTCCCTGAAGGAGGAGATTGATGCTAGTTGTAACCTATTGAACCAAGCTATTGCCGATCCCTTCTAGGTAATGGCAAAAGCTCGACAGCCAATCGGGTTTGGATACCCCTGGAGTTCCATGTGATTCTTGTAGGAGTTTAAGTGGTTGACTTGGTCTTTGGTCTCATCGAATGCCTCTATCGACGGCATCCAGAACTTCTGAGGGAAAGGGAAATGGAGGACCTTAGGTATAAATGGCGACTCGATTTGCTGGACTAGGACATCCATGGTGTTGGGGGCCTTTCCTTTAACCACCTCTTTCACGTTGCCTAGCTCTCGCTAGAGTTCACGGATTCTCTGTTCCTACATGCGATCATCGGTTTCGAACGGGGGATGAGGTCTGTCCTGTCAAAGGTTAGTTGTAGCCTGACTATAGGCTTCGTCCTTGTTTTGTCCTTCAGGGTGTCTCCTCTAATGGTTTTCTCCAGAGTGGCTACTATGCTCGTGGAGCTCTGTGAACCCATTCGGTGGAGCCTGGCGTCCCCGCAGAGGAGCGTCGTGACCCGTTGGCGGTGGAGAGGGCTCTTGTTGAGCTAATGGGAATGGAGGGAGCTGGTGAGTTCGTATCCATTCCAATAGCTCCTGGTTCTGTTTCATAAGTTGTATCGTGGTTCTATGAAAGGTATCCATTCCCTCCAGAGGGGGAAGGTTTGTCGTTGTGAAGTGGTTTTCGGCGTCCACTTCGGGAATCAGGGGATTCTCTGGTAGGTTCTGGTGGGCTTGAGGGTTGGCAGAAGCTTTACTCATATTCCGAGTTGAAACCATCAAATAAAAATCAGATAAGGAAACGATGAAAATCGTTCCAACAGACGGTGTCAACTGATGGTATCGAAATTTGTGGCCCAAGCCCAACTAAGATGGGATGGTGTTATGAAATGGTTTTTGGAGGTTATGGATTAATCTTAAATGATCAGTTAGACTGAGAATATAAGTGGTTCACCTTAACAGAAAGACTAAGGCTATATCCATTATCAACGGAGTCTCTTGCTCGCTGGATTTTTATATTCATCGGTCGACAAAGTACCTCCTGTAACTTGGGACTCGGAGTCCACTTACAAAGGTTGAGTATCCAAGTATTCTCTCTCAATTTTCTATGCTCTTAGGCTCTCTAATGTTCTCCAAACTTTTTTTGGGGAAGATCCTCCTTTGACCTGGGTTATCGTTATCTATTTATATTAGCCCCTCTTAGGGCCTTCAACTGCCCTTTCCTCTGACCCCTCCTGCTTCTTTTGCCACCACGATCACTACTCATCCGGCGTCCCTGTTCATCCGGCGCTGTCGTCGCCAAGATCTCTAGCGACCTGGTGCTCCATCTTCTCTAAGATTGCCGTAGGTGTCAGGGGTGATCCCCCTATATGCGTGGTCCCCTCTGTCCATCCAAAAATAGCTTGGACTGGGCTTTTATTCTCCAAACCGCTTTATGGTTTGGTTGGGCATGGACTGCTAGGTTATAGGTTTTTTGCCGATGCTAAGTCCTCCTTCTCTGCTTTGGGCCTCTTGGGCTGATCAAGCTTCTGGGCCATCAAAGCCTTGGCCTTGGAATTTCGTCCGTATCAGATCTATTGCTGAATTCTTATTTGGCATTTTTTTCCCTAAAAAATATAGTTGTGTAACTCAAGTTATGTAATGGTTAGCCCCTAAAATTTTAAATTTTTAACCATGAACCAAGGATTTAGGTTGTAAAGCCAAAATCCATGTAAATACAATTTTTAAGAGGTCCCAAACAATTCAAAAATAGAAAGCTCTACCTAATTAGGAGTCATCATATCCATATTGAATTGTTACGTATGACCATTTAGCTTTTGTATAGGGGTTGTTACCCATTATTATTTTAAAAGACTTATAATTGATCTTTTGAATATTTTCTTCAAATATTTAGTTTTATATTGGTGGCCTCACCCAGAAAAATTCCTAATTTAGTGGTTCAGTGTCTAAGTTCAAAGTCCAAGCATGAAAGTATGGATACAAATGAAAATTTCTAAGAAGAAAATGGTTAGCATGTTGTCACGCCCGCTTCTAGAAGGATCTGGAGGAATTTAGAATGGAGGTTCCTGACTATATACATGCTAACATCTTTGTAAGATATGTTAGACATATAATATGACTCAAAATCGAAATCAAATCTTTTTAACGTACTCTCTTTATTTATACTACTAATAAAAGTACTTTAACATGAAAAACTTTTGATTCACTATTTTATCCTCATAAAAAATTAAAAAAGTCACTCTATCCTTCCACACTTAATATCTAAATTATCATCATATCTTTACACGTTTAAATCTCCAAATTACATCTAACTTCACTTTTAATTATATATTCTCTATGTATAATTGTCAATTTTCATGAAACTTTTTGATTGATTGTATTACTATTAAAAAATGTATGCATCATTATAAGTTTTAACAAATATTCAAAAATTTCATCAATATATTATTACTCTTTGTTTTTTTGTATTTTTTGCTTTCATCAATATAATATTACTTACCTTATATATAAAGATAATATTATGACTATATATTTACATTTTATTTTCATCAAAATGTTTAACTCTTTCATTTTTATGATATATATATATATATATATATATATATATATATATATATATATATATATATATATATATATATATATATATATATATATATATATATATATATATATATATAGTTTTATATAATGTTTTAGTCGCAGTAAACTTTTCAAATTGTGATAAAATTTTATATAAAAACTCATTTTTTTTAAAAAAAATTAATATGTTTTATAATATATATTATAGCATTGTATATTAAATTTTATTCCAAATAACCTAGATAATTCTAAATACAGTAAGATTCTAATATGATTGGTATATTGATAATTATTTTTATTTTATTCAATGATTTATAAGTGAAAGCTAAATCAAATTAATTTTCTAATTATATACTCTCTATTTATAAATGTCAATTTTTATAAAAAAAATTTAATTGATTATATAATTCCTAAAAAATATGTGCATTATTTTACGTTTGAACAAAATATTCAAAAAAATCTTTTTAAAAATTTCGTCAATATAATATTACTCATCTCATTTATAAAAATAATTTTGTGACTACATATGTATATTTTATTTTTCATCAAATGTTATGCCATTTCATTTTTAAGATAAAAAATAATATATATATAATTTTATATGATTTTTAGTAACAGAAAATAATATTTTATGTGAAAGCTTAAATTTTTTTAAAATTTTAATATGTTTTATAATATATATTATAACTAATTCTAAATATAGTAAGTTTCAATACGATTGGTATATTGATAATTAATTTTATTTTATTCAATAATTTATAAGTGGAATCTTAATCAAATTAATTTTAAAAAAATTTAAATTTCAACCATCACTAAAAAATCATTTTCAATTATAAAATTATAGAAACAAAATAGAAGTTTAATTATTTATTTTCTTTTTTATTATTTTTCTTAAAGTTAGAACAACAACTCTTGAAAATATACAAAATTTTCAAAAATTTTATAGTGGAGTATGAGAGATGAAAAAATAGGTTTGATAAATTTGAGAAGATGTTTAATTCAAATACATATATACTAAATATTTATTTATTAATTTTTTAAAAAAATTTTATTTACGTGCAACACATGCAATACATTGCTAGTAAACTGAAAAATCGCTTTAGCCTTAAGTTATTTATTTTTAAATCAACTGGACGACATGAATTATAGGGCTTTAAAATTTGATTAAATTTGACAAAAAGACATTTTGTTGGTCTGATGCATATGATTTACGTGTACTAATTCAAAAAATACCTAATTAGAACGATTTTTGGTGATTAAAGAAGTATATATTCTTTAATCTCTGGTCAACTCTACGTGTCCCCAGGTGTGACGACCACATTCCTCTCAAAAAAAAAAAAAACGGTTGACAAAACTAGAGTCAGTTAATAAAAAAGAAAAGAGAAATTAAAAAGTCAACATGAAAATAACAGCCAATCGGTATTGATTACACCATCATCAGGAGTTGGTGCTCCTGATCAGGGAGTCATATTTGTCAACGACACTAGTGGGGACCGCAACCATCACCTTCACAGCGTCCTTCTGATCATAGACAGGCAACATCAGACAGTACCTATCACAGCAAATGGGACCCACCTGCACGGGCCTACCAAGCCCAAAGTCTACCCTGTCTAATCCTAGCCTTGACCATTGCGACAGTACCAACACACCAACTGAGTCAGGACTCGCCTGACTCGAACTCACCATTTCCACAACTTCTCTCACGTACTGCTCGTTTACTCTCTCTTTCGCTCTCTTCATCAACTCTGCTGCGTACCCTAAACCTTTTTCTGTCAAGTCCTTCATGCTGGTTCGGGCGCAACCGAGTACGAAGGCGTTGCCGTAATAACCACTGGGCACACTCGGATTCATTCGGTTGCGAATGTTGATGCTGAACAGCAGTTTCAACACCTGGTTGGATGGTAAATTTAATGCTCTTGCCCAGCTTCTCCATATATGAGCTGAGAGGACCTCAAACGAGGTGAATGATGATGACTCATTGAGTCGGCTCTTGGAGTTAGCAAGCTTCTTCAAGTCGTTTAACCTTCGTTTATCGAATGTGAATGAGGTGGGTATGAGACGTCCTTGAGAAAAACGAGATACGAACCCGGAAAGGTCAGGTACTCGGTTGAACTCTGGATGACTCACTGAGTTGGGTTGAGTCGGCAAAAATGGTGACGGGTCGAGAAGATGTCTATCCCAGATTGGTTTGGGCTTGAATTCAGTGTGTCCACGTTTACCAGTAGCTAACTCTGCGAACGAGTTGAGAAACTCAGCGCTTCCAATGCCATCACACATACAATGGCTAAACCCAACACCCAACGTGGCCCCACCATCCGCAAGCCAAGTAAGCTGAACCACGAGAAGTGGGGCCCCTTTGGGGACATCTGACACGTAGGACGACAACAGCTTCCTCCACTGAGTCACATATCGTGGAGCTCCCTCAAACTCGGAAAGAGAATGATCGGAGACAGCTTCAACAAAAAACGCACCTTGGGCTCGACACAGGACCTCTAAGCCCGAAACACCACCGGTCCTAGCCCGAACCCTTCCAGCTAGTGGGTAATAAGGGACCAAGGCTCGAGCCAGTGCCGATTTTACACGAGCCGTGGTTGCATTTTTGTCCAAACCATTGCGAGACTTGAAGACCAATAAGTATTCAATGGTGAACCTCAAGAAGAGCTGAGAGTCCAAAGCAGAGAGGTGAAGAACTTGAGTTGGGGTTGGCTCTGAAGGGGTGATCAGTACAACTTCTTTCACTTGGACAGAGCTTGACATGGTGTATAAAATGATGCTCCTTGTTGCTATAGTCTTGTTGTGGGGTGATATATATATATATAGAAATGAGGTGCGTTTGAGGTTTGGGGAGGGGGGTGGAGGTAGGTGGTGCTAGTGTTAAGAGGGAATGCACAAGGAGTGAATTATTATTAGTATATATAAGGAGCAGACGGTCTCTCTCTCTTTCTCTCTACTGTGAAAGATTTGTGCAAGATTCTCCGGGCATCACTTTATGGAAAAAATGAATTACAAACAAATGAAAACAGCTTGGCTTTGCTTTCTGTCTGTTCGGCGGAGTGATAGCCATCACACCGGCCCTCTCTACGTCTGTATATAAAAATCTCTCTCTCTGTATTTGAGTTGATGGAAGTGGATGCTGACACTTGTCTAGGTCTTGTCCTCAGTATCTGGAAAAATATTGATAGACCACATATATACACCGGCAACACTATGTCAGAGGAAAAAAAATTACACTATCACAATAGATATAGATGGTATTAATATATAACCCTCTTCTTCTTTCTTGTTCTTTTTTCCCTTGATGAGTTCAATACTAATGATAGATATAGTATAATTTACATATAAAAAATATTATTTAAATTTAATGTAAAGACTTAATCTCGTAACTCAGGACATTATCTGACATAAAAAATCGTCCATAAATTACGTTTCTATAACATTATTCTTTAATCTTAGAAAGTTGATGGTATAGACAAGAAAAATGATGAAAACTTTATGAGAGGGACCCTGAAAATTTGGGGAATTGTCCCTAACTTTATGCATAAACAGTGGATCAGAACATGAGGATTCACTGGTTGGACAATGGTATATTAAGAAGATGCTGTGGCTGGGTTACTGGGTAGACGATTATATCACCACCATGTGCGAAGAACAGAGGTGTGATGTGGACCAATCTGCCTTGTGAGACTTTTCTCCGGGTCCACAGTTGTGATGGAACCATGTTTGGACGGTCCCAAATTAACCTGTTTGTAGTCTTTTTCTATTTATATAACCTTTATGTAAGAGAAGAAATAGAATTCAATTAGGTTTTGTCCTCGGAACAGGTTTGTTAAGAGAATAATTTATTTAATAAACTGATGAATTCTTGATTCAGGGCTTGTGTTTGGCAATAACCAACAGAAACAACATAAAGTGACCCAAAAATATTTCCTGACTTGATTCTTATAAGCTACGATTAACCCAAAAATATGTTGATGAAAGTAAATCTTTCAAAAGACGATTAAAAGAACTAAGACATGAAAAAAGGGAGATTTACTTCCAGCCTCAAATGAGTTGGATCAATTAAATGGACCATGCTATACACGATTTCTTATATTTGAGGGGGGAATCAAAATAGCAGGAGGTTGCAGAGACATACACTCCTGCCTGTCGGATAATAGACCCCATTGTATCCAGTGATTAAAAGGGTTGTCACATCAAAGCATCTCCACCATAACATTTTTGTATTTTTACTTTAGAAAATTCTTTATTCCAATTAACCATTGGATTTCTAGAGATGAACTGCTGTAAGAATCACACTGTTTTAATACAATTTTTTTTTTTCCTTCAGTATATCAAACTGGAGAACATATCTTATCATCTACCTCTTTGTTCATGTTCTCAGCTATGAGTCTACGAGTAAAATTCACAAAAAGCAAGCTTTTAGAGAGATAAAGCTTTCAGCAAGGAGCAACAGAAGAATCTTACCACGTTACACGCAAAGTTATGATATATATTATAGAGAGAGAGAGAGAGGTATGCTAATTGCCTACTTCAATTGTTCTAGTGGCTGATACTTACCATAATCACTTGTTAGCTACCAATATTAAAAGATCCAAAAGTAATTAGATACTATTTTTTTCTTTGGGAGGAGAAAGGAAGGAGGTTGAAACGCGTGAGCCCTAATCACTGAGTTACTTCCACGCAACCCCCCCTACCCAAAAAAATAGATTCTACTGCTAAAAATTATTAAATATTTATAGGCCATTTACAAGTATTTAACAAGAAAGATATATTTTTATATACTATTTAATATAGTTCGCTCAATGAGCTCTAAAACTCGCTTACCATTTTCTTTAATTTAGGATTTTTTTTTGTATTTTTGTAACTATGCAGATAATTATCTAAGCAATTCAAATCAATATTTAGTATATTTATATGTTTCTTGTGTATGCGTGTGTGTATGTATCTATCGGTATGCAAATATACTCATTCTAATACATAATCCTATTGAAATTTATAATTAACTAAAAATATTATATATATATATACCATTGGAATGAATTTGGTTGTGAAAAGAAACCAATAACTAACAAAATAAATAAGTGATTAACTAACTATGATCTATTTAGGGGTGATAATCAAGTTCTTTTTTCTAAACAAACTTAAAAAATTGTTTAATTTCGACTTGTTTAGAAAATGAACTGAGTATGAGTCTGAACCGAACCCGTGTAACTTGACTATTTTACATACAAACGAGTCTACATTTGCGAACTTGAACCAAGCTTTTTAGACTTATTTTTTTAAATGAGCTTAAAATTTTTTTCAAACTCAATTCGTTTGAAACCCGAGTTCAAACTCAAGCCAAGTTCTATCTGAACCAAACCCAAATAACTCGTCTCGATTAATACTCTTTTAATCTATTGTTATAGTGTCAGCTAAAGTTCTTTTCAATGACTCTCTTTCTTAACCATTGACTGATACAATACAAGCAAGCTCTAAAATTCTATACTTGTTCATATAAGGTTTTGTAGCCCGTTGTTTCCTTCATGATGAATGAAAAAGGGAACTTTGTGGCATCATCAATATTTTTTATTCGGATTTTGTTTTTCAATTTTTCAATCAAGTCAAAAACAGTTTAAATTCTTCACCTTTGATGGGGATAAAGTAAACCTTTTGAATTGTTAACTTCATATAAAATCTACTTTCTTGGTCCACAGAAAATAATGCACAACTTAGTCATTGGTTTAAAGGAAACGTTAGACCGACAGAAAAATGAGAGTAAAACTAGAATTAAATGTTGACATAGTGAGTAAAATGTAAGATTTAAATAACCGACGTCATTTTAAGTGCATATCTTTGCCCCCTCCCTTTTCAGTCAAACTAACATTACCCATTTGCTTAAATGTGCAACCTAGTCAAGGCAATTGAACAGTCTATTGTAGACAACAATGCCTTTTTCTAGATTTTACAAGATATCGTTTGGGAATTATACAAAACCCAGAACTTATCTCAAATCAGTGGCCCCTCTCTTTGAAAACTTTGAAGCACTCATGTGCACATTGCCAAGTGATATTGGCTTAGTATGTTTTGACTAGGCACACAATGCCGTCACTGAAAGGGACCATACAAGGTTAACCTCTCACTTATTAATCGTGGATGATTTGTCAAAAAGCTATCACCATGTTGTTCCCACATTATTGAGTCTCATATTTTGGTCAACCGAGTAAAAATGAGACCAAAAATAATACTATATTAACGTCACGTCATTAGATTCTAATTTTTTGGCAATCCTCTTAGAGAAAAATGTATGGACAGTGCAGTGCTTTTGATGTAAAAAATCGAATACTTTAAAATACTCGCTCTTTATCTATGAAGGGAGGAAGAAAATGAAACTGAAAACCATTAAAAGGTTTGAAATTAAGAAGACCAAAATCCAGAAAAATATATAATAACACACACAAAAAAAAATATACACATATATAGAGAAATGGAGTGTATGCTAGAGATTATGTTTGTTTCTTGCTGTCTTCATATCTTCCTGCCAGATATGTTGGCATCTCTATTATACATTGCAGTAGGTCTTGAATAGCTCACGATAACACTGATGGCATACTGAAGATGCTCAAATCTTGTCCAACCATCAAAACTATTTATTTTAGGAGGATACTACCGTATTTATAAATTTTCAGTTGGTATTGATCCTAAAAAAAAAATAAAAAAATAATTATAATTTGAACAAGAAAAGTTGTACAATTATTTAAAAAGTTATGCTGTAAACAAATTCAATATTTGTATCTCATGGCATAAAATATATAAAATTTGGCGGTATGATGCCCATTTTTACCATGTGGGCTTCTCCTTATGTTAGAGATTTGGAGTTGTCTCTCTATATTATAATTGATACTAAAAAACAAAAAAAAATAATTATAATTGGTGCATTTATTATATTACATTTATAGATATTTTTATTATTATTATTGTGAGTATTTTTACCATTATTTTAGTATCTAAAAAAGTTATAAAATAGTTATTATAATAATAAAAAAATACTCAAAAATATTATAAATTTTTTTATTAAAATATAAAAATTATAAAAATACTATTAAAAAAATAAATTTTATCAAATTTTTTTTTTTATTGGTACCGGGTGTTGAGACTTGAAGTGACACTGAGACCATCGACCCATAGCCTCCCTGTTAACCTAAAAATAGAGTGCTGACCAAAAAAAGACCTAAAAATAGTGTAGGTGGAGAGAAATATGCCTGAACAGCCACCTAAAGTACATCGACAAACTTAAAGTGTGCCGATCAAATCATGTTGTAGGTAGAATAAGAAAGAAATTTAGGTTGGGAGAAAGAAAGATGCTGAATTATTCATTTTTAAATATTCATGTCAATCAAGGTGAATCGAATAATGATTGTGTCATTATAATGTCATATTATGTTACTATAAAAAGTTGACCCATAAATCACATGATTAATGTCATTTTTATCTCCATCAAAATAAAAAATTATTGAATGAAAATTTTAAGAAAATCAAAGAAGAAATTGCTTGATTCTACGCCAACCCGTAAAATACTTTGCCAATATATGAAATAAAATATAATTTTTTAACAAATTAAATGAGTTACTTGTACCTAACATTAACATGATTTACCTTTCAAAAAAAAAATTGACACTATTTAGTTAAGTGATCGTATTATTCTTGAATCCCCATTACACTAATATTAACGAATTAAATGATCATCTTAATTGAAAGAAAATTAAGAAATTTTAGGG